CCCAACCCATTTTTTTATCCGGATCCATATTTACTACCCTGGTCTGGCGGAACCCCCCTCCGCCACAATCCCCCTCGGCTCGTTTCCCCTGTCCGCGAAGCGCATCACTTACGACCACAGTCGGAGGATCAAAGTGTCGTTAGCGGGTTTGAAAAAAAAGAGGCTGCTATCGTCTATGAGCTACGTCGGGGCGAATAGAATTATCAGGAAACTTCGTTGCGCGATCCTAGCCCGAGGTAAAAGCGCCCTTGGAGCGAACACGCCGCTTCAAAGCGGACCCCCGTTGGTTCGCGCGTTCAACGACTTTCACGAAAATCCTTCGTACTCCGAACCACGGGAAAATTTCGAGTGGGCGCCGAGACCTTGCATGGAGTATGTAGGTACTCCATGCACGTAAATAACGGCGAGTTATTTCTTTCTCGGCGGTTTATAAAACTCACCGGCACCGGCACCGGCACATGGAGGGGGGAAAGTTTGGGCACATACTTTTAGTGAATTTGTATTTTGTACCTAGTTTAACGCCAGAAGCATGAAAGAGACTAAAACGTCTCCAATCTGCCGTTGAGAAATTTTGAAGAAATTTTCGTAGAAGTTTTTATTACCGTAACTCTCCACAGAAATTTTCCAGGCTCGTAAAAGTATATTTCTAGATTTTATGTAAAAGCTTGCGCTCTTTATTGCGCAATGAGCTAAAGAAACAATGTCGACGACGGATATTTCAAAACATAAGTTGTAACACGTCTCAATTTCACTAAAAAATATCGGAAATTATGAATGGGTCCAATTTGATGTTGAAATGTGTTATAGAAAATTGCACGAAGCTGAGAGTCTATAATCCGTCAGCTCTAAATATTTCTTTCACTAAAAAACCTCCATAACTGATGAATGAACCGAGTAAATATTCAACGCGAGAATACCAAGAATATCGAAAACCTTTCTCTGTTCTGTCTCAGTTTCCGTTTAACCTGGTCTCGGCACAAAATGTATACATGCTCGGTCTTAGACGAATAAACCGGCACACGAGCCGCGATACAAGGGACGCATTAATGAAAAGCAAAGCGTTGGAAACGTGACAGAGAACCGGAGGTTCGTCTCCGGGCTTTAAGTCCCGAGGTCGCAATAATCTGCAACGATCTACATAACGATCCTCGATAAATATCCGCGCAAACGAGAACCATTACCACGTTACGGGAACTTCGCCATCCGTTCGGTTGTACATATTAACGAGACGCAGGGTCGGGATCGCGCGAGAACTGCCCTCGATTTCTTTCTCACCGGCGAAGAAACGAGATTTCAGTCAGCCCTGGCTCTGGAATTAGCAGAACCAGGATCGGCCCGGTGTTTCGTCTCACCCGTGTCTCTCCTCCTCTCTCTCTCTCTCTCTCTCTC